AGGTTTATTAAGCTTGCTAAATTAAAGAAAAACAATTGCAAATTAATTTAACATCATAATTAACATACTTATTAAAGTTATCCTGTTGGGTTTTTTGGTTTTCAACCAGATTATTAATAACAGCCACTTGTCGAGCCTCGCGCCGATGACATTGGTCAATTATGGTGGTCAGGCCAGTCTGCATATTACGCGTATACTCAGCCATTTCCTTGATCCTATTCATGTTAACATGGGCGTTTTCTGAGTTTAGTTTCTGAATCATAGCCATAGCCTCGCGATTTTCATTAGCCCTTAACTGGATTTGACGTTGGGCATTTTGATTTTCAGCAATGGCATTTGCCACTGCTAGGAGCGGTGCTGCTAACGGTACGAACTGGGCCATTTTTTAATAATATAGTTATGGTCGATCTATAATATTTAATTAAATAATAATATAAAATATGTTATCAAATTTGATTTAATATGATTACATAACACTCTGTAGTATAATATTATAAAAGTAATGTTAAAACAAATTTGACAACTGATTTTATAAATAAAATAAATATGATAATTATTGTTTTATTTTGTGCTTATATAATCTTATATTTTATATATAAAAATTATGCATAAAATATAAGAAAGCAAAATAAAATAATAATTATAAAATATTAATTATGAAATTATAGGTAAACTATATTAATAGAGTTGTTGATTTGAAATAAGGCTGTAATATTTCTTACTAAATATCACATTGAATAATAGTATATTTTTTATTAACTTGTTTTGTCTGATTATTACGGAAAATAAAAGTATTATATATAAATTTGTACTTTGCCCAAATTCACAGTAATTAATTCAATGATAAATATTAGATATGAAAATATAACATAAATAAATTTATAATCATAATATACACTCAAACCAATTTATGGACTACTAAATACTGTGCTTGGTCACTTTTTAAACATATGTTGAAATACATATTTAAAATATAATCAATCTACTGCTGTACAACTACCATGTTCACATTTACCCACATTACAATATATTTGTCACTAGCAACAAAATATTTACTATAATATATTAATATAGTAGGAATTACTGTATACAAACTAAATAGGATCATATTAGATTATATTAGATTATTTAAACATTGAAATAGGTGATTTGATAAACTACAAGTATTTCATTATTTTTTGCAAAAACACATTTATAATGGTAAGAGATAATTTTGATTACTTATTATTTTATAAATTATTAATTTATATTATTTATTTCAGGATAACTTGCAACAAATTACAGCTCAAAATATAAAATTGAAAGAATTAATAAACTTATTGAACGAACAAATTGCTCTTGGTACTTCATCCGAAATAAAGGATCAAGCTACATTTGTGAAGAATTTGCAAACTTATTTTAGCGCTATTATTTCACATTGTAATAGGCGCGAGGCAGTTTACATTGCTATTATTAAATCGCTTATTGGACGACATAAAAAACAAGCAAGGTATATTCGTAGATTACTAACATTATTTATCAATAGGTATATAAATTATTTTTTAGCAACGGACCTGGTTCAACTAATATATTAAATACCATGGATGCCGAGGCTAAACTCTTTAAAGCGATTATTTTTGTAGCCATAATAATCTCTATTTTAGCTTTTATTGTAGGATTTTATTATAAAAACTAACTTGTTAATAATGATAATGTTTATATTACTACAGTATAAAATCATTTAAATTTGTAGAAAATTAAATAAAAAATAATTTGTTTATAAAATAAAATAATTTTTTAAAAAGATTTTTACAAAAAATATTCTTGAATATTAACTATCTTAAAAATAATCAACATGAATTAAATAGATTTAAACAAAGGCTTTGTTGTACTGTTAGATTGGGTTGCCAAAACCTCCAGTTTACCCAAGGTTAATTCCCTAGGAAATCTGACTCCAATTTTATAATCTTTAATTTAAATTAAAGTTATTCATAGTAGCTAGAGAAAATTATTTAAATAATTTCTTTATAATTTGAATATATCAAGATTTTCAAAATTTTAATAATTTGGAGCTGGCAACACCAGTGATTTATTGCATATTCGTGATACAAATACAGTATAAACGTTAAATGGTTATAACTTATGATATAATATTCCTATATTATATTTTGAAAAACAACATCAATTTCTATTTCACTATGCAATAAAACAAATATAGATATCAATATTAATATTTTATAAAAATAACGTAGATTAGCAATAATTTCACATTAAATATGAAATATCTGTAAATGTTGGTGCATATCATATTTTACGTATATTGTATAATAAACAATGCATTTACGGTTCAGTTTATTCTGTAAATATACAGTAATATATAAACTTTGTCATTTGTCTGGTTATGCGCAATATACAGTATTTGTAAATAATTTTTTGACTGTTAAGTAGTTACAATAAATTGTATTTTTATTAAATATTTACTATTAAATATACAAATAATAATTAATTATATTATATTACAAGTTTTATAATGACAACCTTGGTATGAATTTTACAACTGACTTTAAAACTATATTATATAAAACTATATGTTTTACTAGAATGACCCGGAGCTTGATGCCATAAATGACCTGTTGCAATTAAATATAAATGCCAACAATGAAATAGAAACCTTAATACAAGCTATAATAAGCACACAGGTAATAATATTATTAATAATTATAATTAGCAATTGTAAGTAGCAAGTTATTATTATTTAGTTAAATGCTGAAGCACCGGGAACAAATGAGAGTACAAAGACTGCATCTAAAGGTTTGTAAAAAAATAAATTTTATGAGAAGTAAATAAATCTGAGACTAAATCGAAAGGAAACCAAAGCCTCGCCGAAGAAGACGACAATGAGTTGGAAGAAGTGCTGCGAATGAGTGTTGAAAGCAAAGCAGAGACAGAGAGCCGTCAAATGGAAACGGCTTTAGCTCTGAGTCTTGAATCCACTCCTAAACCAATTAATCAATTCTCGACTGAGGATGAGATGGTGGACAGGGCTCTGGCGATGTCACTCGAGGGCTTATAACATGAGTGACCGGTATTCACGTACACTATGGGATGAAAGTATTTCTTAGTTTGAATCACTTTTATAGCTTTTAATTATTAAACATTTTGATGCATTAAACACTTAATGCCTTAAAGAATTAACTCTTACTACCGCTACTAAAAGCCATAATTGAATGATTTTTTGTTTATTACTATTTACTCTCTAAAACATTTAATATTAGTTTTTGAAATCATCTGGATTATTGAAATTTATGGCTTTACTATAGCCGTGCCTCTAATGATAATTAATATCTGTTATGCCGTATATCTCATCGAAAAGAGACTATTGATTAACAAAAATCATATTAATTATGAATTATTAAAACAAAATCTATTACTCATTACAAGCTATAAGGAGTCCATTAATAAGCATCTAGGTATATTTCCTTTTCTATGGTTTTGCGATTTATTTTCATCAACATGTTTACGATTAACGCATTTCGCAATTAATAAACAAAATAATGAAACATTTTATGCAAATCTATCGCATGGTTTCATTGAATATATTTGTATATTTGTTGTCAACATTATGTTTGTATTTGTTATAAATTATTTTCAAACCCATAGACCGACTGTCAATCAATTGCTTTCATGTGTTGACAAAACCGATAATTTAATTGATTCAACAAAATTAATAATCAATACTTTAATTAAAAATGGTTCCCTATCAAAAGACCTAATGATCAAAAGACCTAATTTTGATCAAAAGACCTAATTTTGATCAAAAGACCTAATTTTGATCAAAAGACCTAATTTT